CCGCCGCCACCCTCTCCGCCTTCCCCGTTGCTGCCGCCGCCCTCCTCTCCTCTACCAAGCCCCCCTCCCTCGCCTTCGCCTCCCCCGTCACCACCGCCGCCCCCTCCGCCACCTTCGCCGCCGCCGCCCCCTCCTCTGCCTTCCTCTCCACCACCACCCTCCCCTTCGAGACCACGAAGAGGGGTCCGGAGTGGTGAGGCGCCGGGGGTGTGGGCGGGCGTCGAGTCCGTGTCGAGTCCGTGTCGAGTGTTTACTAGCTCCGAGTAGAGGGGGCGTTCTGCTGCTAGGGGAAACCTGGAGCGCGGAGCTAACCCTCGGAGACCCGTGTTTACTTTAAGGCCCTTGCCCTGCGAACGCGCACCCCCGGGGCTAGGGCTCTCTAGCCCGTAACCCGATGCCAATCATCCGGCCCGCTGGGTGCGCTTCTTAGCTCCCCGGCCCTGGATGTGCGGTTAATGACTGCACTCCAAGTGCTCCAAGGGCTAACTCATCAGACGAGGGCGGCTCGCACACGCACACGCACACACACACACACACATGCATGCATGCACAGACACACAGCCCCTTCCCCTCCCCCCTCAAGACCTTCCCAAGGGCGAGGACACGCGCAGGCCGCACCTCTAGCTATAGTGAGGCCCGCATAGTATGTGGGAGACTCATGCCGCCGCCCCTGCCACCCCTGTGTCAGTGTGCCCGTGGTAGTGAGAGACTGCCGATGAGAAGCCGGAGGAAGGTCGCTAGACTGAGATGAGACCGCCAGTGGAGTTGGGATTCCACCGTGCACCGCGCTGCGAGCCTGTCGTGTCCCTTGTCAGGAGCAGGAGAGCCCCACCTGTGCCCCTGATCGTCCTTCCAAAATCCTGCTCGTGCAGGTGTGGACCCTGTCCTCCTCCCCCATCCCTCGTTTGGGTTCTCTGTTTTCTTTCTTTCTTTTAGACGTGCCGGAGCCGTCCGACTGTAGCGACTAGCACACCTCTCTGTCGAGTCCCAGAAACCCGAGAGGAGTCACACAGATCACAGTCGCAGTCCACGCCTGTGTGATGCACGCCCTGTGAGCGGGGCGGGGTGCGCACTGTGCCTCTGAGGTCTGAGCTCTGTGTTCGTGCGTCGGGCCCGTCGCCCAGATCTCTCCTGGAGTCTACAGTCTTTTGAACCTGCTCTATTTAAGCTCCCCTCCGTCTATGTTCCACTTCCACTTGAACGCCGCCCCGGCCTCGTCCTCCTCGGCCCCGCTCTCCGTCGCCGAGGCCCTGACAGCAACGCGATGGCCCAATGCGCCGATGCGCTCGGCTCTCCATGCTCTGTGCCTCACCGCGTCGCGGCGGAGGCGGCGAGCACCTCGTGTGCCAGCGGCCCCCGCGGCCGCCGCCACCACGTAGTCCTCGTCTTCCATTTGCGGCGGGCGCCCGGCAGCCAGCGGCAGCCGGCGGCAGCCAGGTGCAGCCAGCGGCAGCGAACGCAGTACCACGCAATTCGCCGCCCTCGTCCCGCCAACTCGTACCCCCCCCCCCCCCCAATCTTCTGGTTCCACTTCCTACATATATATTTTTATTTATGCAACCTCTCTCACACGACACTACTCACTAGGCGCGGGACTGGCGCGCACTGGCACTAAGACAAAAAGAAATCGCCGAGCAACAACACTGGGCCCGGCGCAAAATTAGAGATCGCCTGTCCAGCGCTCAGTCCCTCCCGCTCGCTGCAGGCTTTTGCACGCCCTGTGCTTCTCTCAGCTTGCCCATCAGGTACTCAAGCCCCGTCGTCGGCGGGTAGCGCAACTCCTCGCCCGGGCGCGCGAAGCGGGGGTCGACCGCGACGACAAAGTCGGCATCGGGGTCGATGAAGCAGGCTATGCTGTAGCGGTGGGCGGCGGCGGCGGCCGCGGTGGGCACGATGACGCGGTGGGCCGTCGCGCACCACACGTCGTTTGTCCACCGGGCGAGCAGCGCGCCGGTGTTCACCACCGCCCCGACCACGCCCTCTGGCTGAGGCTCGGGCACGACATCGGCCCACCCCTCACCCTCGCCGCCCGCCGCGCCGCCGACCTCGCCACCAGCGACCGACTTGACCTGCAGCCCCTGCGCGCCGTCGCCGAGAAGCAGGAACGTGTACGCGCCAAAGTCGGTGTGCTCGCCGACGCGGATCGCAGACGAGGAGACCGGCTGCCGGCCGCGCCCTTCGGCCGGAGGATCGCAGGGAGGGTAGTGTAGCATGCCTACACGGCGGGTGCACACAAGCCTCGCGCGCTGCGCTCGGCGCCCATGTGAGTACGAGGCGCGCCAAGCGCAGCGCTGGACGGCGTTTGCAATCTAGGGGCGGCATGCGGAGCGTGCAAAGGTCGAAGCGCTGCAGCGAGCGGAGGAAGTAGTCGGTCTCGAGGCCGAGGGCCAGCGCGCAGGCGAGCGCATACCGCCGCGCCGCCAGCTCCAGCGCACGCCAGAGCTCGAGCGCAGTCTCCTCATACCCGTTGGGGCAGCCCGCAAAATTATTCAGCCCAAGCTCTGGCCTGTCAGACAAAGGCATCACCTCAACGATTCATCCAGTGCCGGGAGAAGTGAGGAGGTCGAGCGAGTCCTCCGAAGGTTGAACGCCTCCTTGAGGTCGGCCGGCCGCGCTCGGTTGAGTGACTCGAGTCCGACGGGCGCGTAGCCAGTGTTTGTGGCCGGCTGTAGTCGCGCGAGCCGCTCGCGCTTGTGCTCCTCGGGCTGGGCGAAGAGCGCCTCCGCTGCGGCAAAGGCTCGGCGTCGCAGCTCGGCGCTCACGCCAAAGTTGATGACCTGGACGAAGCCGGTGTCGCGGCAGGCCAGGTCGATGGCCTTTGCGCCTGCTAGCTGCGACGCAGTGGGGACCGCGCCCACGACGACGCCCTCGTCGGCCATGAAGGGACTGAGGTCGACGGTGGCGACCATCAGTGCTGTCGCGCTGCTGCCGCAGTGGCGAATCCCGGCTAACCTCGAGATCTGCACCTTGGATGGCGGCTGCGCTCCCTGTTTCACAGCCATCCGTGCTAAGGATGGCTGGCATGCCTAGATCTCAGCCATACACTCCTACCCGATGGCTGGGATACATGGCTGCAATTGCAGGATCCTAGCCACTCCGCCCTACCAGCACACGCCATTTTGGCTGCCATCCATCCAGCCAGTGCAGCCATCCTCCGGCCGATGGCTGCGATGGCTGTGTCCCGGCCATCCGCCCGGCCGCATGATGGCTGGCATACAGCCGTCGCAGCCATCGGCCGGAGGATGGCTGTCGCGAATTCGACCCGGCCTTCTCGCCGCCCCCGACACGAGCGCAGGTGGCTTTGCTCTCGCTCCGCGAGCCACCACACCCTTGTTCTGGATGGCTGGCGTCGTTATCTCTCAGCCATCGCGTTGGAACGCTTGGTCAGGATATAGTAAGCTCAGTCAGCCATCCTCCGTCCGGCCGATGGCTGCGACGGCTGTATGCCAGCCATCATGCGGCCGGGCGGATCGGATGGCCGGGACACAGCCATCGCAGCCATCGGCCGGAGGATGGCTGCGCTGACGGGAACGCAGCCAAAATGGCGCGTGTGCTGGGAGGCGGAGTGGCCAGGATGCTTTAATTGCAACCATGTGAATTAAGGATGGCTGGCATGCCTAGACCCTAGTTCTCAGCCATCCGGTAGGAGTGCATGGCTGAGATCTAGGCGTGCCAGCCATCCTTAGCACGGATGGCTGCGAAACAGGGAGCGCAGCCATCCAAGGTGCAGATTTCGAGGTTAGCCGCGAATCCCAGCCCAGGGAGCAACGAGACGATTCCTCGCTGACGGCCGCGCCGTTCGACGCGCCGCGCCCGGAGGCGGCCCGATCGCTCGAGAGGGTCGACGCGGCACGCCCAGAGCCGCGCGGCGCGCTCGGCGACCCGCTCGTTGAGGGCCCGGCCTGAGGGAGGGTGTAGAGGATGTAGAGTGTAGAGCGCTGTAGCGGCGCCCCTGGCCATTCGCTCCGATTCCCCTCGATCGGATTCTGCTGGCACTCTCGAGGCTATGCCTACACAGCCTCGCGCGCATGGGCAGTCATGAAGGACCACGCACCTTCTCAGGACAGCGCCGGTGCCTCTCTCTGGACCGGCAAACTTTGTGGTCTAGTGTCACCAATGTGGGACCAATGCGGCATCGCGCCATCGACAGCTCTGAACTGCGCCTCACCACTGACCGGGAAGGCCGCCAAGTGGGCCAGCACAGGTCGCACATTGTGGCAGCAGTCAGCAGTGCATGTCTGATAGCTAGAGCAGCAGCGTCAGGGTCGCAGGGTCGGATCGTGTCAAGCCTCTCGCCCGGCCGGCCGCGTGCAGACGTCGGCCTGTCTGCTGTCTGGAGTGATCTGTCCGAGCGGTCAGTACGACCGATCAGGTTGGAGTTTTCTGATGATTGGAGGGTCTATCTGTATGTACTCCTCGAGTTCTCTCCAAATCTGCCCTCTACTTAACCGTACTTAATCGGGAAGTTGGTGCTAACGGAGACTAACGGAGCCGGAGCCCCATTTCCGTACTGCTGCGCGGCGCACGGTGCCTCCGGGGGCCCCCGCGCCCCCCCAGAGAGGGGCGCACTCTGGCACTCATCGGATACATCAAAGTAGATGGCGACACCTGGGGTGATCCGTTGGGACAGTGCTGCACCGACCCGAAGGGGTCGGTATGCGGAGGTACCTCACAGCAGGCCGCCATTGCTGCTGCCTCCTCCTTCTTCTTCTCTCCTCCTCCGGCCCTCCACCAGCCCCGCCGCCCAAGGTGCCTGCCTTGCCAGCCGAGGGGAGGTGCCACTGAGGTGTGGCCGAGGGTGCCGCCGCGGTGCCCGCCGGTGCCCGTGAGGTGCGCCGACCTTGGGAGGGAGCCTGCGGGGCCAGCCGCCGCCATATAAATAAATAAAACGGACACACCACAAACAAGGGGTGGGAGAAGGACAGGGTCCCCACCTGCACGAGCAGGATCTTGTAAGGACGATCAGGGACACAGGGGAACGGGAGCGGGGAGCGCATCGCGACACGGAGGGGGGCTGGGCAGGGTTCACCCACACGACAGGGTCCCAGGGATTCCCCTCTCGTATAGGACAAAGTTGCACCCGGCGGCACGGGGGCAGGCGCGGGCCTCCTACTGGTTGCGCTCTCCTAGTTCTCCTGCTACTGACAAAAGGGACAGCGACAGGTTCGCAGCACGGTGGACTCCCTATTCCACTGGCGATCTCTCTCGACTAGCGACCTTCCTCCGGCTTCTCACTGGCAGTCTCTCACTATCACGGGCACACTGACTGAGGCGGCCAAGGCTCACGCGTCACGGTCACGCCGTGGGTGGCAGGGGCGGTGATAGGAGTCTCCCACTCTGTGGGCTTCGCTAGTGTAGCTATTGTTGGCAAAACAAGACACAGAGCTCACACATCGCTAGTGGGTGCGGCCTGCGCGTGTCCTCGCCCTTGCGGTCTTGAGGGGGAAGGGGAACGGGCTGTGTGTCTGTGCATGTGCAGCCGCCGCCAAAAGGGAATCAGTAACCAGCCTCCGGCGGGGCCCCCCGCTACCATCCAAACCCGAGACCGGTCTACTAATCATAGATAGAGGCTCAAGTGTGACATAAGTCCACATACATACGACACACATACACAAAGCAACTCTCACGACAACACGGGCACCGGGTGGAGCGGCGGCGGCGGCGGCAGCGGCACGCGCGGGCGGACGGATTCGGACGGGGCGGAGCAGCGACCGCCTGGGCGGCCGCTGCTCTGCAGAGCGCGCCGTCTGTCTGCGCAGCTCGAGCGCCGTCAGGTGCAGGGAAGCGTGGCGGCGCGGGGAAAGCGCGGCGGCGGTGGCGAGCAGGCGAGCGGCCCGCGCGCGGCGAGGCGGACAGGTGATCGGCAGGCGGGTGATGGGCCGGAGAGTGACCGCGCCCAGCGATCGGAGGAGAGCCGATCGTCGCTCGGCCGCAGCTGACCTCGAAGGCGTGCGGAGCGCGACTGTTGGTGTCGGGGGGCGGCCGTCATGTGGCGAGGAGGGAGGACGACAAGTGCGCGTCGTACGGGTCGCTCTTCATCGGCCAGTCGAGCGGACGGTAGGTCGGTCAAAGTGAGCCGGTGAGGACGGCGAGATTCGTTGCGAGATACGGTTCGCGGGGGCGCCCAAACAAGTTTGGGACGGGGACGCTCTGGGGACGCGCCGCAAAATCAAGCAATTGGAAAGGGTGTGTGTGTGTGTGTGTGTGTGTGAAAGCGCCGTCGCAACTGCCATGTCGGCAGGTTGTAGGCTGGTGCTCTCGCCCCGCTGGCGGCGCGGACCGGTGCCGCGGCTCCGAGCCCTCCTGTGGGCCCGCGGCGGCTCGCCGTCGCGGTGCCGAACAATGTCATCGGTCCGGATTCATCCCGGCGTGTGCCGCCGGTGACGCTTCTTCGCCGAAATTTTGCTCAAGCTCTTTGTCGACAAAGCTGTGCCCGAGCTCCTGCTGCTCGACTGCGCGGCGGATCCGGCCCCTGGATGCTGAGATGTGAGGCGCCGGCACCGGGGCTACAACACGGGGCCATCTCCAGGCTGTCTCGGGCAACCTCAAAATTGGCGCCTCTCTCTGCTGGTGCTGCTGCTGCTGCTGCTGCTGCTGCTGGTGGTGCAGATGCTGCTGCTGGTGCGGCTCGGCTCTCCGACTCGACTCGCCGCGGGCGTCGCGGGCATCTGACGCGGCGGGCGGCGTCGCGGGCGGCAGCGATCGCGGCTCGACGGTGGAGGCGGAGGGTGGTGGCTGTGGTGGACCTTTGAGTTTATTTAATGGTCGAGTACGAGGACTGGGGGGTTCAACCGGGAGGCAGGGGTTCAACCAGGCGACGGCGGACCGTGGGCCATCGCGGGGACGGGTCCGTCCGGAGGGCGAACCCGATCGAGATCCGGATGGGTTCACACCGGTGGGAGGCACCGAGGCGTCTTGGACGCTCAGCTCTACCTTAGCTCCTGAGGGGCGCGTGGTTGTAACCACGTAGTAGGACTACAGCCCACCACAGACACCCTCCCTCTCCACACGTGTGCACACGCCCTCACCCTCTCCCCTCTCCTCTCTATCCTCTCTCTCCTCTCTCTCCTCTCTCTCTCCTCCTTGTCTGTGCTGTCTGCCTGACTCAGGCACTAATTCTGCCGATGCGTGATTGTGTGTGGGCTGCTCCGAGGGGGCCCTGCGCGATCCGATGGGTAGGGAGTCTGTGCCCGGGCGGTGTCCGGTGTGGAGTCTCTCTCTGATCCCACCTGTGATGTTGGGTGTGAGGTTGTGGCGGCTTCGATCCCAAGGGGGGGAGCTGATCCCACTCAGTAACCAACTCTCAGGGGCAGTAGGTGGGCGAGCCTCGAGCGCGCTCATCTCGATCGTCAAGGCGTCGCTACGCGCGGTCTTCCGCGGGGGGAGCTTCGTCGACGGGTGCGGGATCGCGGCGCAGTCAGTGCCGTGGCGATGCCTCCGGCTGTTGTGGCGGGCGGCTTGCTGCTCGCGGCGATGGCGAAAAACTCGTCTCGCCGCACACCAAGGGCTTATGCTCTGGCGAGATGTGAGGCGCATGCGCCCAGGAGGGGAGGGCGCATGCGTAACGACGCTGCTAGAGATGCCTTTCGGGGCCCAGAGATAAAACTTCTGATGCCATGCATGACCTAGTAGTGTCCCCAGCTATGGGCGTGTCCACGTTGGAGCCAGGTGTGGTGTGGGCGCGAGAATAGCTCCGCCGTTCATGGAGGCAACCGATACGAGTCGACTGGTGTGTGTCGTCGTGGTTTCGTATCAAGACTACTCACTCACTCACTGGAAAGGGGGCTACTGGGGCGGCCAATTCACACCTCGCGGGACTACTTGTGTTTTCGTGATGCAAGTTGTGGCCCCCCGCTACGTCGCACGAGTGCAACCGTCGCGGGCGGCTCGCGGAGGCAAATTTCTCTTTTCTCGACCCCGGCCACTCCCACGATTTGCAAATGGCGCCGCCACGCTCCGGGGCCAGGCGCGGCAGGCCGTCCGACGCGGTAATTCACTACACCAAGCGGCTCAACCGCGAGTGCGCTGAGCGCGGCGACGTCGCGGGCGCGCGGGCCTTGCTCGATGCGATGGAGGGCGAAGGCCTCGCGCCGACTCTCGTGACGCTCAACACACTTCTCAAATGCTACCGCAACGCGCGGCGTCCGGACGCGGCGGAGGCGACGCTAGATCGCGAATTTCGGCGCTGGGGGCTCGAGCCCGACGGCTGCTCCTTCTGCACGCTCATTGACGCGTACGGGCTCTCCGGCGACCTGGCTGCGGCGTGGCGAATCCTGCACCGAGCAGAGGCCGCGGGCGCGGCGGACGCTCGCGTCTACTCGGCGATCATGCGCTTTCTCGCGCCCGCGGAAGTGCCCCCCCTCATCGAGCACATGCTGCTGAGGGGGCTCTCGCTCTCCGTCACCGTCTGCAACGCGGCGCTCAACGCCTTTGCTAACGCAGGTGGGCCCGGGGGCAGCTCGCGCCTGCCCGCCCCCGGCGGTGCACCCACCCCCAGAACCCCGGCCTAGGCGACCACCTCGCCGCCGCGGCCTTCTTCGACCGGCACATGCGGGGCGACGTGAAGCCAGACGATCGCTCGTACTCGCTCCTGCTCAAGGTGCGCCGCGGCCCTGAGCATGCCGCGCAGCGCCACCAAGCCGCACAGCGCCACCCAGCCACTCAATGCCACTCAATGCCGCTCAGTGCCGCTCAGTGCCGCTCAGTGCCGCTCAGTGCCGCTCAGTGCCGCTCAGTGCCGCTCAGTGCCGCACTGACATGCACTGACATGCACTGCCACGCACTGCCACGCACCTGCCACACTCACAGGGGGCACGCTAGGCGGGTGCCCTTCCCAGCCGCCTCACCCCTCCTCTGCCAAGCACCGGCGGCATCTCGGCGGCATCTCGGCGAGCATCTCGGCGGCATCTCGGCTGCAGGCGCGTTGCTCAGCCGGCGATGCCGCGGGCGCGGACGAGACGCTCCGCGCGATGGTTGCGGAGGGATGCCGCATCGAGGTGCCCGCCTTCTCGACGGTGATGAACGCCTACGTCTCGCAGCGGCCGCCGCAGCTCGCCGCGGCGGAGAGTCTGATGGCGGAGGCGCAGGCGCTCGGCCTCGTCGCGGACACGCAGATGTACAACTTGCTGCTCAAGGGGTATGCGTCTGCGGTGCCCCCGCAGCCGGTGGCGGCCGAGGCGCGTCTCTCCCGCGACAGCTTTTTCTTCCGCCGGCTCATCCCCCTCCCCCTCCCCCTCCCCTCTGCAGGAGACTCTGCAGAAGCTCGAGGCCGCGGGGCTCGAGGTGTCGGTCACTTCGCTCACAACGGCAGCCCGCCCTAGACTCGGGGGAGGCGGCCGTCGCTGCACCGAGAGCAGCTCTCCCCCCGTGTCTGGGCGGTGCCCACGTCCCCGTCCACGGCCGGGCTGCACTGCGCCGCATCGTGCCCGCCCTCGCCGGCTGCCCTCCTCCCGCGCGTGCAGGTGATGGACGCGTGGTGCGAGGCGGGGAGGGTCGAGGAGGCGCAGCGCCTCGCGCGGCAGTACGAGCCGTCGCTCAAGCTCTCCGGCGCCATCTACAACGCACGCCTCCCCGCGGGCGGGCTGCGCCGCGCGCGCGCTGCAGGCGCCCGTGGACGCGTCGTGGGTACCCCCGTAGGTGCTGATCAAGGGTTACGCGCGCTGCCGTTGCCGGCGGACGAGCGGCGTGTGCCACTGCACTCCGTGCCGGTGCTGCAAGCCCGCCGAAGGGATGCGACTCTTCCAAGAGATGGCGATGCGCGGCTTGGCGCCCGACTCCATCACGATCAGCACGCTCGTCGACGCGCACTGCAACGCGGGGCTCATCGAGCAGGCTTTACTTCGGCTTTACCTCGGCTTTACCTCGGCTATATCGCGGCTTATCTCGGCTTTGCCTCGGCTGTACCTCGGCTGAACCTCGACTATACCTCGGCTGTCCCTCGGCTGTATCTCGCCGGCTGATCAAGCAGGCGTGGCTGCTGCTCGAGTCCCTCTGCCAGCGGGGCACGCGAGCCGGAATCAGCCAGCACAAGGCGACCGGCGCCCGCCCGAACCTCGCGGCCTTCCGCACCGCCTTCCGCGCGATTGAGCGCGCCTCCCGCACCGCCGCACCGGACGACGGCGGCGCCGATGGGGGCGAGGGGTTGGTTGGCGGCGGGGGGGGTGGCGGCCAGGGCGGCGAGGCTGCCAGTTGTTGCGGCGGCGGCGGCCACGGCGGCGGTGGCGGCGCGCTGCGGCGTACGCAGCTGGTGCGACTCGTTGCGGAGGGGCTGGCGATGTTGCGGGAGACGCTCGGGTGGCCGGACGACGCCGGCCTCTCCGCCACGCTCGCCACGCTCTCGTCCGCTCTCTCAATCGCGGACGGGGACACCGCGCTCTCCGCCGCGCTGTCGAGGTACTGCAGTCCCGAGCCGCGAGGCGCGGAGGCGGAGGCGCTGGGGTCACTCACCGCTTCCGAGGCGGAGGCGCTGCAGCTGGCGGCGGAGCGCGCGGCGGAGCGCGCGGCGGAGCGCTCGGCAGAGCAGGAGGCGCAGGAGAAGACGCTGGCCGATTGCTTGCCGGGCGGCCTCTTCGCGCCGATGGCGCCGCCGCCGCCGCCGCCGCCGGCCCAGCTCGCGGCGGCTGCGCCCCGTCCCCCGTTCGGTCGCCCATCTCTCTCGCCGGCCACGCCGAACCCTCCGTCACACAAGCCGCCGCCGCCCCCGGTGCCGCATTCTCCGGCAGTGCCCCACGCCGTTGCTACTCCCGTCGCTACGGCGGCGGCGGCGGCGGCGGCGGCGGCGCCCGGAGCAGCTGTTTGCTTCACTCTGTCTCTGTCGGGCCTTCGCTGCGAGGGCTGCTCGGGCACTGTGCGCACCGCTCTGCGCGCGGTGACGGGCGTGGCCTACGCGGAGGTGGTGTATGCGGAAAGCTGCGCGATAGTGAGTGGCGCCGCGGGGCTATGCGGCGACGCCCTGACCGCCGCCGTTGCTGCTGCCGGCTTTGAAGCCTCCGTCATTGATCAGCGCAATGTCGACGGCTCGGCACCAGCGCCGCCGCTCAGCCTACTCGAGCGGCGCGAGCTCGAGCGATTGAGGTGGCGCTGCCGCGGCACCTCGGCGTGCGAGTATAGGAGGTGAACGCACCCATCTGAATGCACTGTAGGCCGAAGCTTGAGGCGGCTCTCTCGCGCGTCGCAGAGCTCGAGGCGGCGCTCGCCGCTGCCGGCATACCAGCGCCAGCACCGCGGTAGAGAGCGCTACCACACACGACGACCGACGACCGACTGAGAATACACATACGTCGTTGCACACGCAAGCGCGGTCCAGCGATACATGTAATAAAACGCTTGGAAAAGAGGCGGGGCGCCTCAGTCTTTTTTGTGACGTTTGGCGCGCGGACGGCGACGGGGCCCGCTCTCACGTCTCACACTCTCACCCCCATCTAGGAGCAGGACCGCACTCAGGAGCGAGAGAACAAGAGAGGACTGAGAGCTCTCTCAGTCTCACCGCCGTGGTCCGTGCTGCGCACACGCATCACACACACGTTCGCGCGGAATATCTCGGCGACGAGATCGCGAGTCACGATAACTCGTACAGTAGCTAGGTTTGGCTCATCCCCTCCAAGCTTTGCGCGATCGCGATCGCCATCATCTGATCCTCCGCCTCCGTGTCTGCCGGATCCATCGCCCTCGGCGGCGGCGGCAAAGCGCTCCCATTCCCTGCGACCGCGCCAGCCACGGCAGCAGCAGCGCCAAGCTGCTTGCTGCGCCATTTCTCTCGCGTAGCCTCGCCGACGCCCTGCGTAAACCTCCACGCTCCGTCGCCGTAAGCATGCCGCAGCAACAGCGCCAGCGCCGGGTCGTGCGCTGCCAGTCGCGCGCGAGCATTGACCCCGGCCGTCACGTCAGTGCGGCACGTCGCATCGAACCAGGCTTGCGTCCCCTCCGCCCAATACTCGTCGGCGTTGCACCCCATGTAGCAGTGCGATGGGTAGAGGCCGCGCCCAATCGCGTCCGCGTGTGCCGCTCGGATGAGCTCCCGCGCTTCCTAACCTCGGCAAGACTCACCTCACCTCATCAAAGAGGGTGGAGGGGAGGGGTGAAGTGAGTCTGTCCGGGGGTGACGACACTGCGGGCGCATTTCCATGCCGCGGCTGCGCGGGCGAGCACACCTCGCTGAGGCCGAGGTTCATGACCGTGTGGCCCAGCTCGTGGCACAGCACGCTCTCGTCGCGAAACCACGGGTCCGCCGCAATGTCGAGCAGGTTCTCTTCGCCGCACGAGACGACCCTTCCGCCGCCGAGCCCGCGCGTGGTCGCGTCGATCTCGCTCAGGCCCTCGCGCTGCTTCTTCTCGGCGCGCGGCTCAGGCTCCCCGGGGGCGGCAGCGTCGGCCGTGCTCGCCGCCTCCGCCACCTCCTCCGCAGCCGCTTCCAGCGGCGTCGCCTCTGCCTGCGGCTGCACGGCTTCGACAGGCGCGCAGCGGTCAAGCGCGCCGCGCAAGGCCACGTCGGAGAGGAGCCCACGAGATACGAGGTCGTAGAGCACACCTGGAGTGAGGTCGACTATGGGTCAGGCTGCAAGGCGTTTTCGGGTTGGGGGTGGCGGGAGAGCCGCACACCGGCGAGCTGGCGAGAGTCGCAGCGCTCAAGTCGTGGCTTGATCGCCGCCGCCATCGCCTCGCGGCGGATGTCGTCCGCCGATTTCGGCGGATCGCGCGAGTCGGGAGCTTCAGGCGCCGGCTCGCGCGTGCGCTGGGCGCTGAGCGCGTGCGCGCGGTGCTCCGGGATGTCGCTCGTCAGCTGCTCCCTCCCAATGACGGAGATCGAGCACCGTTGCACAGCCAACCGACTCGTGACCGCCTCTGGGCTGTGTCGAAGCATCTCGCGTGCGATTGCGGCGGCGGCGAGCACCGCGCCTGATGCGACCACGTCGGACGCACGCACCGTCAGCCCGGCGCACCCGACCTCGGCGCTCTGCTTGTAGAACGCTGCGGCCATCTCAGCCTCTGCCTCGTGCGCTATAGCCTCTGGCGCTGGCTCCGGCGCCGGTGCCGCAGACTCGAGCGTGAGCTTGTGCTCGGACACGGTCGCCACGTGCTCGACAGAGCCTCCCTCGCAGTGGAGCCGCCAGCAGTGCCCGACGAACGTCTCCTGCATTCGCACTTCCCCAGGTGCAAGTGGCTGACCGTAGGCAGTCTCGGCGCCCTCGCTGCACCAGCACAGGGTGGCGGTGTAGGGCGTGCGGTTGCTGGCGATGACGGTGGTGCGAGCTGGCGCGGACGGCATATGTGTGTGTGTTACTTCCTCCACACCCCAGTTCCCAAATCCACACAAGCGAGCGCTAGTGAACGCCCACAGGGAACCGATATGCCTTACAGTCTACCCTTATAAGTCTCTCGTGTCGGCGCCGACGCTCTTTTAACGTAGAACGTCCCAGCTGAACACTCGAGACACCGCCCGCCGACGATCGATCAGTCCACAATCGTCGGCCCGCAGCGACCCGCAGCGATATATGTACATGGATGCCGCCGCCCCCCCGGCCCCTACGGCCGACGCGCCGATGCACGACCGGCCTCCGTCGGACGGCTCTCCGGCCTCTCCGGCCGCTGCCGCCCGCGCTGCTGCCGATCCAGTCCCTCTCACGCTCAGCGATACCCGCACAACCTACGACAACTTTGAGGTCGCCGGCTTTGGCCAGGTGCAGCCACCACCTGCTTGCCTCCATGTTCACGCTTCGCGCCCCTCCCCCCCCTCTGACGCCGCCGTATGACCTTAGGTGAGGGGCACGACTACCCGCCTGGAAGGTGCTCTCATCAGCAAGTCACCCAGGCACCAACTCCTGGGCGTTTACGCTTGACTACTGTACGTGGAAACCATGCAGTGGATGCAGCTCGATCAAAACGCCGACGCCAACAGCCAACAGCTGGCCCCTGGGCGAGTTCCTTGCCTAGGATGAGGTGCGAGCCATGATGCTCAAATCAGCGTGCACCAAGTCGCTCACATTCCGTGAGTTCGTCAACGGGCCGAACACACTCTCCAAGTCGACGGCGATCTCGAACTCCGACAACTGGACCGGTGCACCAGCCGCGTAGGACGATGGCTCCCTCGAGGACATCCCTTCATCGACGGACGCCTTCACCGCCGCCGGCCCTGGGCCATCCAGCGCGGCCTCCGACGGCCTGCACGTGATCGAGGTACAGAAACGGTGGCTGCCGCAGCTCACACCCTAATCTATCTGCCTTAGGCACGGAGCCAACGGAGCCATCGCGCATGCCCGCATCGCGTGCGGCTCCGAGGTCTCCCGCCGAGACCGGCTCGGCGCGGCGCGTGGCCGCACGCCGCCGTTGAAAAGGCGATAGGAGAGGGGAGAGCGCCGGCCACATCGAGCGAGCGCTGACGTGTAAGGTGTCTGCGCTGCTCCGGTGTGTGTGGGATTATGCCTCCCCCCATCTGTGCGGCGAGGTGTTTGCGGTGGGTGCGATGGCCGATCGTGTTTGCGCGATAAGTCAGTCAAAGCAGTCGTGGCACGTGAGCAGAGTCGCTGCATGCAACGGCGACTGCTTTGACTGACTTATGAGTGGCACGCGTCTCTCACTGCCCGCGAACAACAGAGGCGGGTCCGCCGCAGGTCCCCCACTAGTATTTTTATACAATACTCAGGTCCCGCTAGCAAGTCATGAACAGGGTAAGGGAGGGAGGGAGAGCAAACAACTGGGAAGTTCACAGCTGAGCTTACCCAGAGAACTCCGTTCTCACCCACAAGCGAGCGCTAGTGAACCGCCCAGGGCACCACCGACCCGTCTTGGTCCGGCGGAACACAACTTTTTGCCGAACGCGGTCGACCGAAGTTGTGGTTTCCAAGCGCATTCGCTTCGCCGTGGTCGAGTTAGTGGGGTAAGCCGCTGACGGCATCCCCGCAGCTTGGCTCCCCGCGTGACAAACGACGGCCTCCAGACGTCCTCCGCCAAAATTTTCCTCGGGGCGGCTGCGCCGCCCTGCAGACGCCCCGTTGGCGGCACCGAGCGCGAGTTTCCGACGCGCTCGTGTCTGGTGACAGACACGGATCGGTCGCCGGTGGGCTCAGCCAATCGCCTCCAGCAGATGCTTCATCCACGGACGAGACGCGTTCGTTGCTGCGAGGCGGCCACCGAGCCTTCCTGCAACGACACAGAGCTTGCGATGCAACAGCCTGTTGTCGGCGTGATCGCCACTGGGCTTAGCTGAGGGTCAGGGAGCCGGTGGTTTAGCAGCCACTGCGCAGCACGCGAGCCACCGTACCCGGATGAGTGCGTTGTCCGCTCGGTCGGCGCGGCCTCCGTCCGTGGCAGGCTGCCGTGTCCGTGCCGTGGGGTGTCTGCGTGAGAGACTGTACGTTGTTTGAGGAGAGGAAAGCAGCTGTTGAGCGCTGTCAGAGCGGTGTTTAGCTTGGTATTGCCTTCATATGTCGCAAAGACTCCAGATATAACTCTACGCGGCTCTACTATTTCTCGCATCCCAAAGCTTCCACAACACGCCGTCGCGCGGCCGGCGTGGCCCCGCTCACCTGTCCCATCCTCCTGTGTAACCCCTAGACTTGTGGTGCTGGGCAGGCCGAACATGCACAAGAAAAACCCGTGGAAAACGGTTGAAATGGCACCGATTTACGGTTTTCCGCGCGCTGCGCGCGCCGAGCACGGCCACGGCGCCAAAAAAGTGCTTGCCGGAGTCCGTTTTCAGTGGACGGACACCCAAAACGACATTTGCATCGGCCGGGCGGACAAATTTAGTGGCCGGGAGCCCCTTTTGGAGCCTTCTGAGCCATTCCTGCTACTTTTTGAGCGCGTTGCGTCTCTCTGCGATGATGTGAAAATTGTGACCAAAATCCGCTGTGATCAAGAGGAAGATGGAAGTAAGCTCCCCAGCCCTGGATGTGAGGTTGCCGACTGCACTCCAAGTGCTCCAAGTGCTCGTATGTTGCGTAGCTCGAAGACCGATTGGCTGTACAATACACAGTGAGACCCAGTCGCTCCGCGGCGGGGCTCCGTGAATTCTCGCGGGGAGCCTCACCGGAGCTGCCCTCGGGTCGTCGGGGGTTTGAATTTTCTGTTTTCTTTCTTCGCCAACACCAAATCCTGCTCGTGCAGGTGGGGACCCTGTCCTCCTCCCATCCCTCGTTTGGGCTGTCCGTTTTCTTTCTTTCTTTACTCCCTTGTAGCGTGAGAGAGTGCGTTGTGTTCTTGTTTTCTTTACGACAAAACTTGGAGCACTTGGAGTGCAGTCGGTAGCCTCACATCCAGGGCCGGGGAGCTAAGGAGCGCACCCAGCGGGCCGGATGATCGGGATCGGGTTAAAACGCTCTCTCACAACTCTAGCCTCTAGGTCCGTACAAACAAAAAAGAATTCAGCCGCGGGTTAAAGCACATGCGGCATCTCTCCTCTCACACACATGCTGCACATGCGACCTGGGCCGCTCTCGCAATCACACACATGCTGCTATGCCGGAATGCCGCCCTCGCGCGACTCTGCGCGGTGGCAGCATGACACGGACACGACGAGATTCGACGAGATATGGAGCAATGCATGAGCATGCCATGTCCATGTCCGGGCAGTAAAGGTTGAGCTCGAGCATCATTGCTTGTTGGCAACGCGCTCGCCAACGCACGTTCACCTCATCTCCCCAGCATCGGTCGGGGCGAACAGCGGCCTCTCTTGATGCTCGCGCCGTCTGCCCACCGCCTTGGGCCACGCGCGTCTCGCGCCGCCCGCCCACCGCCTTGGGCCTCCGGTGCCGCCATCACCGACCTGCCTTTGGGCGGCAGCAGCCACCTCAGCAGGCGCACGTCGCTCATGGCTCGCGCCCACGCGTTGTGCTTCGGAGCGTTCGCGGCACGACCAGTGTACTCCGTGTATCGCACCTCTGCCCAGGGCTCACCTTCCACCGGCCGGATACTCATCTCGTCCGCCTCGCGCTCCGTGCCCTGCGCGACGCGCTGCACCCGCACGCGGTCGTGCGATACGTTTCGTGACCGAACGAGCGCGGTGAACATGTCGCGGCTGCCGTTGGCAGGCACGATGGGATCATCCTGGCAGTGAAATGCCCAGATGCGGATGTGCGAGAGGAGGTGCGCGCGGGCGGGGTCACCCCCGCCACTGATTGGCACAGCCGCGGAGAACAGGCCCGGCCGCCTCGCAATGAGCTCCTATCACCATCATTGCCGTCACTCCCAAAGGCTTGGACTCGTGTGGGGAGGGTGCGCCGCGCCCAAGTAGCGTAGCCGCCCATGCTTGCCCCTCCGACCACAAGCCGCTCCCGATCCACGGGGCGCCACGCCACGGTGACGAGCGACCTGGCGGCGACTAGGTGCACCAATCTTGCGGCAACTTGGAGCGAGCGGACGGGACGTCCTTTCAGCGGGTGAGACCCTATCAGCGTTGCACATTGGCTCTGAGCAGCGCCTTGTGGCTCTGATTCTTATGGACGAGGGAGGTGATCGTTTTGGAGGGAGGGGGTGATGTGGCATGGTTGAAGGCGGTGGGAGGGGCTAGCAACAAGACGCCGGTTCGTGGGCCGTGATCGACCCAGCCACGCGCTGCGAGCGGCATGATCAGGTAGTGCGGTACCACCGGCTGCGAGGAGTAGAAGGGCACGCCGGCGATGTGCCTTGTGAGGTAAATCGTGGCACAAGTCGGGACAAGACGCCAAGCGGGCCCCTGCGGTGGATGGGGACATGGCACCTTCTCCAGGCGTCACCGCCGACCAGGCCGCCTCCTCCCAGGCCGTGGAGCCAGAGGAACAGCGGAAGGGCGGTGCTGCTGCGGCTTGTGGCAGGAATGAATAGGCTGTAGTTGAGGCCGTTTGACCGCTGGGCGCGCCAGATGCCGCAGGATGGAGCGACGGCATTGGAGCCCATTTTGCATTGCAACACGTGCGCTCGCGGAAGATTTTTGACTGCGAGCTCGCGACCTCGGAGTTTTCCTCATCACGTCATCGCATGATGTCCCAGTCAGCGGTTTGTTTTAGACCGGTCAGTCAGAAGCAGCCCGCCCGAGCACCGAGCACTGAGATAGGACCTGCCTGCCTCGAGCCGCCCACCCCTCAAGAGAGAAACAAAAGCAGAGCCCCAAGGTCACACAACCGCTACAGAGCGTCTCGGGATGTCGTCAAGCGTAAACAGATCCGTAAATTCCGAACTCGCGCCGCGACCGTCCTGTGCCGTTGCCTCCGAGCCGAATCCGCTCCGCACTCCGACGAGCCGCCACCGGATGGTTGGCTGTTGCAACGACGAGCAGACCTTCTTCATTGTGACCTTCTCCTGCTACGTCGCCGCCGTGGGCCTCGTGTGGCGCTCGCCAGTCTTCAAGCCCTTCAAGCTGTGGACGACGTTGATGCACGAGTTCTCGCACGCATGCGGAGCTTGGCTGACGTGCAACAAGGTGACCGGGATCGAGGTGCACTGGAACGAGGGCGGGCTCACTCACTGGCAGGGCGACACGAGGCGTATGACAATGTCGAAGCACGTCGTACTGCCCGCCGGCTACCTCGGGTCGACCCTCTGGGGCGTCCTAACGATCCTCTCAGTCTCCAACTACGGTTGGGCGCGCGTCACGGGTTGCGTGATGCTCACCGCCTGCGTCATCTGTCTCGCGTACGCCATCTTTGGCAAGTCCAATGAGGAGCGCACGCCGCTCATTGCGTGCTGCATCGCGTTTGGGGCGCTGCTCGGGACAACCACCGTGCTGTCGTACGTCATGGGCGGAGACCCGGGCAGCCACAACCACATCTGGGACCTGGTGCGCCCCGAGTGGCCCGATTGAACACCACCCCCGACGCGCTGCTGCAGTGAAAGGGCGGAGCGACGAGCCGTCCCGCCCTGCCGAATCCTGACCGCCGCCCTCCCCACTGCCACAGCTCCTCTACTCGGTCCTCCTCTTTGTGGGCACCCTCAACGCCATGTACGCCACCGTCGACATTTACGACGACACCATCTCGCGCACGGACGCGCGCGACACCCCAGATGCGCGCCACGCGCAGGTGTGATGGTGCGCTGCTCACACCAACTGCGGTTGATAGGCGCGCTCCGACGCCTACAAGTACGCGCAGCTCTGCTCCAGCTTTGCGACCCCAAAGTGCGTCGGCTGCGTGTGGTTCCTCCTCGCGATCGCCGCGTTCGGCGCGGCCTCTGCTCCTCCGCGGAGCGGGCACCGCTCGTTTCGGGACCTGCTCAGGCCCACACGCGGGGGCTCTGCCTGTAGGCGCCTCTGTCTTCGGGACCATCGCCCTCGACGAACCCAGCAAATTTGTGCTGACCAACCAGTTCGCCTGGGTGCCCGGACCTATGGCAGTGGGTCTCGCGGTCGTCTACCGAGTGACGCTCTACGGACGGGAGCGGTACGGCGGTGGTAAGCGCTACAAGGTGACGCCAAAGGCGGACGCCGGTTCGCGGCGCGCCACGCCGACGATGACACGGCCAGGAAGGGCGTCGCAGGTGTGATTGTTTGATTTCTTTTTGCTAGTGTTGTACAGAAAGAAAGAAAACACAAGGCAAGGCAAGCCGAAGCACCGAAGCCGCCGCCACAACGACCCCTCTGGAATTGAGACTCGCCGCTTTCCTCCCGCGCTGTGTGATGTACTTCGTGTGTGAGCTCTCTTGTCGGTCTTGACGATGTGCCAACACACAACAACCTAACTACCCACAAGGGAGGGGTGGGCGGACTGTTCGTGCTCTGGCTAACCTCCGAATGTAAGTTTATGTAACACCAGAGATTTGGCTGTGCTGGCTCCTACGCACAGCCATCTTACCTCTAAGGATGGCTGAGCTACCTAGCTGCAGTGCAGCGCCACAGGGGAGATCCTCCAGCCTAATGTGGCTGCAATACACACACGGCAGCCATCCTTGGTAGACAGTGGCTGTGTGGAGACGCACTACCGCAGCCATACCGCCCGCCTCGAGGTGAGCCCTCTTGGCTGAGCTGGTTCCTGGCTTGTGGCTACGTTGCAGCCATCTCTTTGGGTAAGATGGCTGGGGGACAGCCCATTTCAGCCATCTACTATGGCTATGTAGGTCACAGCCAGTGCAGCCATCCTCCGGCACCGCCACCGGAGCATGGCTGGTGACAATCGATGGCAGCCGTCCGCCGCCCCCGCCACAACGCACAAATGGCTGCGCGCTTGTCCCCCCCCCCCCCCCCCCAGCCTCGCGGGACGGCTGCCATCGCGGGCCCTGACTGAGGGAGGGTGTAGAGGATGTAGAGTGTAGAGCGCTGTAGAGCTGTAGAGATGTATGTAGAGCGCTCTGGAGCGCTGTAGAGCGCTGTAGAGCTGTAGAGCTCTACATCCGGCGCGTGACGAAGCGCCTGCGTTGTAAAGCGATGTAGAGGCGCTCTACAACGTAAAACCTCCACAACAAACTCTAGATGATACAGTCCCAGTGAGCTAAAAGTACAGTTGAGAGACAGAGATGAGCGGCGAACGAGGTACGGTCGCTCTCC